GTCATTTAGCTACTGCAGTATAAATATAATAATATAATTTAATAGTACTTATAACTACTAATGTTTGCTGTTCATTAACTATATTCTTCATTCAGTTTATTTCAATTCATTGTGAAGATTATTCAGTCTGTTTCAGTAATTAATACATATTTAATTAAATAATTTTGTTGTTAAGATAATTATTCTATAATTTGGACTTGTTGGCTTCGTTGCTCTGTTTTAAGTTATAAGACAATAGTTTTAACAATAACATATGTAGATTAAATGAGCCTAAATCTAAGTTAATTAACATATGTAAAGTTTTATCTCTATATGATTCTTATATGATATTTTAGCAATATAGTTTTAAGTCCTTAAAATCGGAAGAAAACTTGCATAACGGGTTGTGTTAGTCTTAAAAATTATTGAATTTTGTAAGAACTCTATTGAAAAGCTTTAAACTTTTTTAATTCCTCGTATATTGCTGAATTTTCCTATCTTTTTCTCGTACATTTTAATTTTTTCATGTGTATAAGGTCTAAAAATACCTACACATTCATAAAATTTCTAAAACATTAGAAGTATAAAGAAATAAATATTTAATTGTGTTGTTGTCACTTTTTCTTTTATTTCACTCACAGTACTTAAAAAAGTGAAAGATTAATGTTAAAACTGTTACTTCTTGTAATGGTGTTGTCCATCATATCGTTTTTATAGTATCACATTTAAATTCCAAGAACAAAATAAATTTTATTAAACGATACTATCAGATAACACTTTATTATATGTATATACCGTATTTAATACAAATTCGTTGTTTTAAAGAGAGACGCCAGCCTAGGTGCCGTCACTAATGCCACCTCTTCCAGTACGTTCCATGATATTTTAAAATTGTTCTAAATTCTTCTTCTTCATAATCACATTCTTCAATCGTCCGCACTCAGTGAACTCTGCTGTCGTACGTCCAGACATCTTATTTATAACAAATTCAAACATAGTTCTATTATACATACTTGTAGATAGTCTTTGATTTCATTTTACTTTTGACATAATCTGAATACTAATAACTTTTTATAATAATTGATGACTGCTTCAAGTCATTTTCATGTCACATCCATAATTAAATCTGATAGCGCAGATATATACGTAATAATAAAAAAATAATGACGTCTCAGTTTTGACAGTAATTAATCATAATTATAAACTAATTTTATGTATTGCATTTAGGCTTTAACCAAACCTTTATAAAGTCAAAGTTTAATTAAAAGTAGTAAACAAACTTATGAAACCCTCATTAACTAAACCTCTTCCCACAAATCATAGCGGTGGGTCGTAGAACTTATAAGTGTTTATAGACCAAAAATATAACTTTTATTTTAGGTTGAATTTGTCTTCAAAAATGAAAATATATAATATGAATAACAGCTGGTTAGATATTAACAAATATTTATTTAAGTTACAATTTATGTACCTATACACATTCTTGACAAATTTAAAGTGATCGTCTGCAAGCCATTAAGTAACCGTTACGCTGCATGGTTATTGGTTATGTGTATCATCCTAGACTCAATAGACTGTTAAAGACAGGTCTTTTTGAAAATAATAAAGAAAACTTTGGTTTTAAAATAATAGAGACTTAATAATTAAATTTATCGTTTTTCTGACTTCTACATACTAAATTGGAAAAACTGTTTGTGATCGAAAAGTTTATGAGGGGTTGGAGCTTACCCACTATTGTAAGAACTGACTCATTAATATTAGCTCTTAAATTCAATACTGTCAGAAAATCGCGTAGGGTTCACGAACCTAACAAAGAACCTTAAATTATATTTAAAATTTAAGATAATTGGTTTAAATTTATTAAATAACTCTTATTTAGTTAATACTAATTTAACGAACGGCCTCGCTTTTAGAATTCGTATACTCCTCATAAAATATAAGACCTTTCAAAAATCTTTTCGTTAGTTAATCAATGAGGGCAGATAAATGGTCTATCGAAGCGTGACAAGATAATAAAATAAAACTAATTTTTAATCAGGCAGAAACATCTTAACCTTAATCCAAGAATCTTAGGAAAAGAAAAGCTGATATTTTCTTTAAAGACTTTACAATTACTTCTTGACATTATTTATAATTTTCTTTTAAAACAATACTAACTTCTCTTTTGGCCTCCGGTATGTAGTATTTTTAAAAAACTACCTAAAAATTATAAATACTGAATAAAAACTTACAAAAATTCTCAACCATTCATGTAACTTTTATGATTTCGGACAGACCAGATTATTTTTATTTCACCCGAAAAGTTGTACAGAAAATATTTATTTAATTAAATAAGTTATATTTTATGTATTATTGAATTAAATCCTTTAGATAAAACACAGAACAAAGGAAACTTTTGTGAAACCGTGCCATTTATTATCGTAATAAAAATTTCCAAAATAAAGCAAAAAGAATTTTTTAACAGATAAGTAATAGTATTACTGAATATAATAAAACCTTTTGTACATACACATTATTAATTTATTCGACATTTCATACAATCGTTTTGGATATGAATTAAGGTAGCTAACATGAAACCTTATTATTAAAATATGAATCTTTATGAAAAAAATTTTTTATAGAAAATGTTATTACAAAGTGAAATTAAGATCGCACTGAATAAAACTACATTTTCGGATTACTGAGCGTATTTTATTAAACAAAATCATTTCACATCTCGTCTTTCCGAAATCATGGTTGCTGCAAAGTAACCGATACGTCGCGTAGGGGAATGTAGTTATTTTTTTAATAATAAAATTTAAGTTTAGATTCATTTAAATTATAAAATCGTATGAGCAATACTAAATATATTTCATAATACATAAATGTTACTACTTACCTTATTCATATTATCATCAATACAATTCTTTGTTAAAGCCACAATTTTATAAGAATTTAGTGGTTAAAAAACTAAACATATACAGTTAATTAAATCAAAATAATCAAAGACAACACAAATCAAATTCTTTATTATAATTATGTATAATAGATTATTCACAATCATCTTTACAATATCACTATACAATTTTCAGTCCATTTGGCCTAAACAGTTTTCACCAACATTTTCAATAACACATTTAAAATTATTCAATAATAGGATATATTATATTTATATCATGTCGAACAAATGTAAAAGTTAAGCAACTTTAGTTTTTGAGTTGATTGACCAAGTAGAAGAGTAGTTTAATAGCATACCCTGCATTAAGAATAATACAAATTGTTACATTTAGAACCAAAAATGAATTGAATGTTTTAAAAAAAATTAAACATACATTTTCGGATTACATTCACATTGGAAAATAAAGTATCGTAATTACTTCTATGTAATACATTAAATTTTGACTCATAACCAAAACATAGAATCACTGATGATTTACATAAGTCTTTCACTGTACGTGTATTGTTCAACGTTTGGCATTTAACATAATATTTGGTTTCAAAACAGTCATGCTTTTGTTAAATAAAGTTAAATTGCATTATGAAGAGCAGACAACAATGATTTTATAATATGAACACAATTTTCAAAGTGTTTTCCAACATAAAGAACTATTCTATGTTTCTGTCATTACCTTCAGTTATCAACACTTACATGTATTAAATTTTAATGCCTAACTAAATTCTCTATACTAGAATTGACAGAAAGATAATTTTTAAGTTCCTAGCTGATGTAATTTATAACCTCTGTAGTCTCGTAATGGAGGTATCACTCTAAAATACAAGTATACTGGTGGGTAGTTCTATAAGTTCAAGGGTCAATTTAACACTGAATATCCATGGAATATAATAAAGCCCATTTGTGTTCTCCTACATACTTAAATACACTTCTTTACAATATTTCTTGTATCTAAGGGTATATTTAGACTCAGCTAAAAATTTCAGTACTATTTACACTTCAACAGAATTTTCAAGACTAAGAAATGTTTCTTTTTAAGCCAAAAAAAATATTGTCCGAGTTGTTACATTGTAAACTGGTTAATGTTGCTTGGAGCCCTGCAGTCGCTATTGCTTTTACTATTTAACAAGTTGTAAAAAAAGAAAACGCTTAAGACAGTTTCTTGAACACTTATTGACACAAGACAAGAATAATAAGAAGCCCTTCATATGTTTCTGTAATGTAGTAAGTTGCTATTAACCAAATAATATGTATATTTTCCTTATTTTTTCTTTCTGCTTAATATTATAACGATGTTTTATATAACAACATTATCAACCTCATTAATTATTTCAGTTCACGTGGTCAGCTTTACATCAATGGTAATTTTCCTCGAAATGTTTTAAAATGAATACAATATGTTATTGGGAGCAACAAAAAGAATTTAATTAAAGTAATACACTATGAATATTTTTGTAATTATAAAACTGGTTTTAATCCGATTCATGTTCAAAAATATACGAGAATATTGATATATAAAATTATTAATTATTTCCAGTAATTGCTAGAAATAATAACTATTGGGAACAAAACATGTAATTATTTTTACTTTTTAAAAAAGCTGACGTTATTAACATTTATTAATTATATGAACTATGGTGAGTCATATTTGGCTGTGTTGAAGTTTACTTTCTTTGAGATTCTTATCATATTTTTCTCATCTTCAGTCGATTTATTTCCTACTAACATTCGTATGAATTATGTTCTAATTCAAAGTTTACAACATGTCTTTGTAACAAACATCAGAGCAATAATATCGTAAAGGTTATCGTTTAACTTTATAATCAATATTATAATAAATAACAGGTCATGTTATATCAAATACATTTCTTTACAAACAGCAAATCATTTTTTTTAAACACCACAACCATTAAAGTCTTTTATATAGAATTATCGACACTGTAACATTCCCAAACACTCAGGAGATTACAAATTGTCTGAGTTTCATAAATTTTAAGTCAGTCCATAATTTCCCCGTTCGACTTTAAATATTCTTCGTCTTAAATACTAGATTGATTCCTATCTAATATCTATATATAAGTATATTCTTCTATATACAACTTTCCCTCACTCGTAGATCCGATACTCGCGCTGTTACTCCTCGGTTCACAAATGATATGTTCTGTAGTAAACATAAAATATAATTAAAAACATATAAAAACAACCATTTAACAATTTATCGTATGAAAACAGCATAAATTGAGAAGTTGTTTCTAAGATAAAATATTCAATTTATGATACTCAGTGTCTTCGTAATATATGTATTTTCACACTGATTTATCTAGTATAACAAGTTTTATTTGCAAAAAAGCACTATATTGAACGATTCAAATCTAATAAATAATATAATTTTATAACACTTGTTAAATAAACCAATTATAATCGTTTTTCTAAACATATTTTTATCTATTTTAATGATATATTAAGCTATGTTATAATATTGTACAGATCTCACCCCTGTATTCGGTACACTGGTGTCAGTGTCACTGAACACTTTGGAAGTGTCACCTTCTCCAACCTTGGATTTACAATAATCGTCGAGCGTCTTCTTATCTATAATGAATAAATCAAAATTTAATTAAATGAAAGTTTAAGTACTCGTTTTTGTTATTTAATATTTAAAAAGCGATCCACCATGGGACAAATGGCTAGGGATTTCAAAAAGATAAGACAGGAATTATGGGATACTACTAAAAGGTTGAGGGAGATTAGGGTTCCACGACGTTTACTTATAAGACCGCTACAGTGACCTCTAAAAACATACGTACATCCCTACTAATATTATAAATTAGAAAGTAACTCTGTCTGTCTGTCTATCTGTTACGCTTTCACGCCTAAACCACTGAACTGATTTTAATGAAATTTGGTACAGACAGATTTGACCTTGACAAAGAACATAGGATAGTTTTTATCCCAGACTTTTGAAAGGTTCTCTTGGAAACGCGATATAACCGAACTCCACTCGGGCGAAGCTGCGGGGGGAAAGCTAGTAATAAATAACCTAAAGCATATATATTTTTTTTGATAATTCGTTTCAATTCCGCAGTGCAGTAATAAAATTAAGCCAATACAAGTGAATTAGTCTTTTTATTGATGGTTTTTTTCAATAGGTAAGTTGATTAAGCTGTCACAGCTATTGGCGAGTAATTGATAGTGAAAATGAAACGCGATAATTCAAAGGTTGTATATTCAAATCCTGTTAATGTCAAAGAAATTTTCGTTCTGTACTTTCACATTTAAATTTAAGTTTAACCACAACATGATTTCTACTTCAAATAACTCACTCACATACTCACTTAATTCGTTGATTAACGAATTGAGTGTGTTCATTTCATAATATTGAAAACTCAACTATCTTCCTTTAAATCTAAATCTATATACATATGGTTTTTATTATTCTTAAAAGTCATGTATACAAACCAAAGGCTTTTATTACTGCTATTTTATCATAAAAGTAATCTTTCTTATAAGCTGTGTGTTATATTATATGTATAGTACTTTATCCTATTTTAATATTATCTTACCATAATGTACAGCGATGATATCAGGATCGTCTTCAACTTCGCTATTGATCTTCAGTTCGTATTGCGTATTGAAGTCTACTTTCGGTGAAGACGAGTACGTCGTCAAATCATTTTTGGGCAATGATTCTATACTGTCGTTCAAGTAATGCGGGTTTCTGTTTACATTAAAATGTAATTAATTTAATACAATATGAAATAAAATGTATTAAAAAAGACAAAATTTCAATTTGTAATTATAAATGGTATTAATTTTAACAGTAATTCTTTGTGGACGATAATTATAGTTATGTTTTAATAACTCAAATCTTATTCTTTTACAAGCTTGATTGTTGAGTATGTTTGAGTGAAATATCGCAAAACTAAATTAGGATTATCTCTCCTAATATGAAACTAACTTTAAAAGACAACAATAAAATTTTAATATATTGGGAAATTTAAAGGTCTATATACCTACTACAATTTATGTCCTTTGATATTATATCCATATACAAATATATACCAACATTTCGTTGAAATATATGATGTAGTTTAATCTAAGTACTGTATATAAATTTCAGTCAGGATTTTATGAAGGGTAGGGTTACATAAGTCGTAAACCCGCCTAAATCTTATTCTGTTAATATGTGTTTTATACTTATGTATTATATTATGGTCTCTTATCCTCAATATGAACTATTGTTTTACTACCTACATTTACTTATTTAATAAAAAACCTATACTGGTAAAATATATTTATAGATGATAGGAAAAAGGAAAACGAAAAAAATATAGCGTTATCTTATTAAATATGTGTATAATGCCCGTGAATATTTAAGATATAACGGTAAAAAAGTTACTAAAAAGATGCAATAGATAAAGGTACGTTGAAAAGAAGTTATGATTTCTATAATAGATGCAAAATTTCTAATCAATATTGTGTTATAAGCGTATGTATTGAATATACAAATAATGTACATATTTAATAATAAAATAATTTGTTTGGGAATGATGTAGTGACTAAAATTCACTTTAAATGATATTGATAGTATTGAATTGAAATGTTTTAAATAATTCCGATAGGCAGTCGTTTTGTTTCCCAAATGTATAGTAACATAAAGGGTAGCGACACTAGCGCTCGTGGCTCTACACATTCCCATTCAGTCATTCGGAGAATTAATGCTTGAAAAGTGGATAAAGAGGCACGAAAAATACTGGGATTGGTATTTTAGAATCTACAAAGTGAGGTTAATAAATAGGTGAAGTAAAAAAAAGGAAATTCAATAAAGATGTTAAAGATAGGTGCAATAAATTTGAAATAGAACGATTTGATTTACCTTGCTATAATAATATAAAAACAAAAAGATGATAAAACTGATTATGTTTTGCTCATTTTAAGTTACATCGTCAGTTTAACAAAACCTTGTAAAAAAAGTAATAAATTCGTCTTTAAATGTGCAGTTACTACTAACATACAATATACATATATATCGTGGGTAGAGGGTTTCCAAATCCAATGAATTCAGTTTTTAGGAACTCAAACGTACTATTTTTACAATTCTGAGAGTAAATAACTGGAATTTTCAATTACCATCCAATAAAATCCTAAATTTTGAAGGATAAAAATATTTTATTTTACAAAAATATCGTAAAAATATAATTAAAATTCAAAAAATGTGAAGCCCTTTAAAAAGTATTTTTTTTAGGGTAACCCATGTTGTTAAATATAAAAAACGCCTATGTTCATATTATGAATCTATTATTACATATTGCAATATCATACTTATACATAAAATGGTATTCGTGGTTTATGTGCTATGTACAGTAATGCCTACAATAGCCAATCCATTTTATAGGCCAAAATAATTAACAGTAATGGTGTTTAATAAACATTGTTGATCGATCGAATTTTTAAATAATTAACGACATTTTTGAGTATATTCATTTGTATAAAACGAAGGTTTTTCTCATATTCTTTTCATTTTTCAATCGATTTCTCAATTTTGATTAAAACTAACTGACAGAAATTGTCATCTCGTCTGATCATGATCACGATTATTGGAAAGAAACCGAAACGTCGGGATTATGTAGCTGTAAAATAATAAAAAACTTCAAGTATCCGAAAAACCTTTGTTTTATGTAAAATATTAACTTAGCAGATATAATAGATTCTTCTATGCATTATCTTATTACATACTATTCAATTATGAAACGACTTTTCTATGTTTATAGACTCGTAAAATCTAATTCATACTTACATCGGTTGTTTAACGTGTCGTCTTAAGAAATGTCTGCGGTAGACAGCGAATATGATAGCACAAGTCGCGGCGCTGAGCAATACTATGACTGTGAGGAGAGATGCTATCAACGGGGATAAGCTGAATGTACTGCCCACACCTAAATATATAAATAATTTTATATAACAACAAATCACATTTTATATACAAACAAGAAAAATACCAGAACTACTTTAGATTTTAAATGTATAGATAAGAAAATAAATTTTGATTGGTTGGAAAAAAAGGAAAATTGATCTGATACATAAAGTGTTGATAAAATAATGAATAAAAACATAAATTTTCAAATGTTACCAACTAGTTTACAAAGAAAAAAATCTTTTTAGTTTTGTACAAAATTGTAATTAAATGATTGAATCATTTCTTAGTTTTTACATCCATAACTCTCTCTGAAACTACCGATTAAATAATAAATAGCATATTGAAATAATTTTTAACAACCTGAGAAATAATGTTAACTTGTTAAACTTTTAAGTTTTACAAAAACTTTTAAATAACTAATATTGGTTTCTCAATAGTAAAGTAACAAATATTTAAATATTATAATCAATTAAATGATCGAGCATATACTACTCCTGATAAATATATATGAACAAGGTTTAATATCATTAATATCACAATAAAATTACAAATTAATATGTTTACTTTATAACAAAGTGATAACTATTTGCCAAAGCATTTATAATAAAGTGTTAAACATAATGAATAAATATTTAACAATAGGATTTTAATATGTAATCTTAACTGCGAATAATTAAGTGCTAATAATTTTGTTTAAGGAACAAATAAACTGTTATTACCTGTGTACTTATCCGGAGAGCGTACAGCCACTGAGTACACAGTAACTATCTCACTGCGACCCTTAGGATTACTCGCATAAAGATTAAGAGCGTAACTCAAACCTCGGTTTAAACCTGTCACCTCGAAATTGGGCGTTGAGTTTGATGTTATGTTCGCTCGCATCTGTGAAAATGGTCGGATTATGGCGTTGTTGACTTAATACGAAAATATAATACAAAACAAGTTTTGGAGTCTTATTTAATGATCAAGGAATATTAATTACACATGAGCAAAGTACTAACAGTGTACGAAGGTAATTCCAGTACTTCCATAGTGAACACTTGACTTATTCCTCCGTCAAATCCTTCAATACAATCCACAAAAATGCTATTGACACTTTCGTTGACTATGCTGCAATTTTTTAAAGATGACGGTCGTCCTACAAACATTTAGATTATTTTAATGTTATATCGTAACCTTCTTAGGCAACAACATGTATGAGTTAAAAATTATTCTAACTCAAAACTAGAACACATTTATTATATCTAAGATTTTCACATATGTATATTTAATGAAACTAAATTTTCGGATACTACGTAATTTTTAATATTTCGTATTTAAATAATCCTGCTGTCTCGATTCCTTTACAGCAACCGTCATCACAGTTAGGCGAGATTAAAGTGTCTGTCAGTCAGTCCTGTTATTTGTAATCCTTGGCGCTAGATAAAGTGGAAGGATCATGTACATATAAAATAATATTTTTATATTAGCAACCTTAAAACTTAGTTTCATTTAAAATGAAACAATTTATTATTTCACATAATATATCGCATGTTCTAAAAATAAAGATAATTAATATGACAAGAAGAAACATGACATGAGACTTGATTATAAATAACTAGCTTTCCGCCCGCAGTTTCGCCCGCGTGGAGTTCGGTTATATCGCGTTTCTGGGAATCTGGGAAAAATCTGGGATAAAAACTATCCTATTTTCTTTCTCAAGGTCAACTCTATACCTGTACCAAATTTCATTAAAATCAGTTCAGTGGTTTAGGCGTGAAAGCATAACAGACAGAGTTACATTCGCATTTATAATATTAGTAGGGATTTCAAATTATTATTCGCTCTTTAATAGAAATTAATAAAAAAAATATCGGAGTCATTTAAATTTATAATTTATTAATATCTTACCTGCAGCAATTATACTATAGACGCAAGGAATTTCCTGCCTCCCAACTGAATTAGTGGCCAGACAAGATAATGTTCCAAAGTCTTTATCTTCACTGGGAATATACCGAAGCACTGATGTGTGTCCAGACACGTTGTATAAGCTAATAAAGAAAAAATAATATATAAGAAACATTTTATAAGACTTTAAAAGAGAAAGTTCTTCAATTCGATCGCGTATTTTTTTATGTGTATGTGGAAAATTTCTGTATGTTTTGGAAAGTTATACCATGACGAAGACATCAGAAACTGATGAAATGCCATCATTACCTTAGAGTTACGAAAGAAACTTTTGAAAGTCAAAGCTAATCCGGAAAACTTATGATAATACTTGATGGTTCCCTTGGTTTATTCACTTAGTTAATATTCTCTGGAAACGAATCCATCTCAATACAAAATTTAATTCAGATCGATCGAGTATTTTTCGATTTTTGATTTGTTTAAGTAATATTTATATGGGTTGCCGTGACACCTTATCAATTTATGCCCTTGTTATATTTATCATTTACATAAAATCGTAGAATAAGAAAAATAATAATAAAATAACTTAATATTTTACAAGTTGGATAAAATCATTTTGTACACATTTTTACTACAGTATGAAATTATTAGGATCATTAAAACCATTTATTTGCTATACACATACGTTACGTAGATTATACAGAAGAAAATAAATAAATTTAAAGAATACAGTGTAGGAGCAAGGGATTCATTTCAGTATAAGCTAATGCACAGCACTGATTTTCAGATGGCCCCTGACTATTGGGTAAACATAGTCAGGGGCCATCTGAAAATCAGAATTTATCTTATTAGACAAGAGTATAATTATTAAAATGAGAATAAATCCCCCACATACCATAAAAGTCACTTTTTTATTATTTTTATATAATTAAGCTATGACCTAACACTGTTCTTAAGCACGAGGTATGATGTCAATCACAATAAATTATGAAAGATCATTGAACACAACTTAGACACATAAAAACCTACAAGGTCAGAAGTCTTACACGAGAGAAAACTGAAATTTTATAAAATATAATAAAAATAATTCATAATTCTATATAGAAAAACTATTAATACTCAGAGGCGTGCACATAATATAATATTTAGCGTGGGAAAGGCAGACATTTAACAGTCCGACCACAGAACTCTATGCGTACAGCTGCATTGTTAAATAATTCTCAAACGAATTCATCAATTATATTCTTACAAATCAATTGCCGTTACAAATGTAATAAAAAAAACAATGAGAAAACATTTTTTTAACTAGTGAAATTAACTTATGAAGCGAATTCACTTGAGAGAACAATCTCCTTTCAACCCTTGCTATATGCAGAGGTTTTTATACGCACACATACAAATATATACAATAATTTATGTATGTATCACGAGGTCAAATGTGTCGTATTTGAATGGAGAATGAACAGCAATTAGTTCTGCTTACGGTCTCTTTGACTGAAAGTGATGCTAGTAGTCGGATAATGTTTCCTTTTACTTTTGGGCGCTGGTACTTTACCGAAAGGTAAATTGAATAGAATTATAAATTTCAGTGAAATATAAACTCAGGGATGTTAAAGTGAGAATAGAACATGCAGTGCTTATAGTTTCTGTGGAGTTAACGCCACTGTGTATACTATAGTAATATTTAGTCAAATATGTAATATTAGAGTTACGGGAAGAAACATAAATAAGTATATGTAAACATAATATATTCATGAATTTAAAATGAATGAAGTAATTACATATAACTTAATATAAATAATACTTAATCGAGATATATTTTCACAATCATTTTGTCTCGACAACCAAAAACGAAACAATGTACACATAAAGTTATACGTCAGTGAAAATATGAAACAATAAAAGTATATACAAACTTATAATGAACAGTACGAGCATTTAAAACGTTTACTATGAGACCATAATTAAAGGAAGGAAACATAACGTATAGATGAAAAGGTCAATTAAATATCGACATCCGTGAAAAATAATATTACAGGGAACAATATTAAAAATATAAAACTACTTAAAAGTAGAAAAACATTTTAAAAACAAACTGTTATGATAACGAACTAAAATGAAAAAAAAGAAAACTTTTGCTATGTACTTATGACATCATTTCATAATCTACATGATATTAAAGCTTGTCGCGATGTTTCTTTCTGTCGAATATAGAAAATTTTAAAAACTCGATGATTTTCAGACTAAGTAAATACAAGTACTTATGTTATTCCTAACATGGCTATTATTTTGATATCCAAATTGTAGGATGTCTTAAACATATATAAATAGGTTCCCATCTTGGACATGAAACTATGTTGGTTCAAGAATGACGTCACAAAGGATCTTTGACATCCATATGAATTTGGATACAATATTTCAGTACATCGGTAGAAGATATTCATCTTCCGCTTTTTATTAATATAATATATTCAAAATTGATTTGCAAGATTTTACACGAACAATAATTATTCATATCAAGTTTAGTAAAAGTTTTTAAAAATGATACAACCAAGAACATTTGAACTTAAAATCTAAGAAATATTAATGAAAGTAAAATATTGTTTAGTTTTTGTATATCGAATATGAAACATATTCCCGCAAAAACAAATAGAATAATTTTATTAGTACTGTAACTAAATAAAAATAAAATAACTTCTACAATACCTGCTTCCCCGTACAATAATACCTATTTTAGTTACATATTTATATATATATTTTTAAATAAATATATGAATAACTATCAATATAACAAGTGTACACAAATTGTTAAATATTAATATTTAAATATTACTAACTACCTATAATAATATTTGTAAAAATCAGTTAATACACGATTACCTATCCAGGCACGTAATTTGAAATTCATAGAGATACATATTTATAGCAATATCATAAAATATCAAGAAAAATCTCAAAATGTTATATTGAAATAAGAATATTAATGAACAGTGAATACAATATAACATTAATAAGACTTCATGAGACCACATTAATTTACTTACTTAAAGCTTCAGTTGTTAAAAGGATTGATATTTATAATTACACACAGTTATTGTCTTAAATTATAAAATATAATATTATTTAATAAATTATGGTTAAGGAAAAAAACCAGTTACTTCGTGTTGAGTTCATTAATAACTTTTTTCTTTTCAGTATCCTATTAAATTTATTTTGTTGAAAAATATTTTATCGTTGTAAAATATGAATACGGTTTCAATCAAACCATATTATAAAAGTGTTTATTTAATTTAATAAAAAGAACGGATTTAAAACAAGCAAAAAAGATTTATGAATATTATATTCATACATATATATGTATTAACAAATTATCTTCTTTTTTATTGTTAATTCATAATAACATTATATTTCCGTGTAAAAATTGCAGAATTAAGTTAGGAAAAGGGATTGATGCTCATATTTAAAGGAATAAAGAATGAAATCCAGTAAATCACGACTGACAACCAGTTTACACGGAACTGATGTCAAGTTATGAAATTAACCAGGCCCAGGGAATCTATCAACTATAAGTATTCAATGGTTAAAGATCTTTATTCTCATAAGAACATACATAGGTTCACTTACATGGGATTAAATAATGTTACACACATACATTAATATTTGATACATGGAATGGCTAGTACTACTTAATATTGTCTAATATATATTTTAAGTTTATTTTAATGATGATGTATTCTCTACTAACAACCTTTTATCTTTACGTAGATTACGTAGATTATCTTTACATTAAAGTTATATACGTATATAACTTACCTCGGTGGTAACTCGCTATGGTCACCATCTCTATTGAACATCCACTCAAAGCTTGTCGGCTGTGGACTTGAATCTACGACGCAAGATAACTCGATCGGCTCGAGTAGCGACGCTCCAAACACTTGTTCCTCGTCTAACTTGCAAACTGGGCTATCTATTAATATAATTTTTATTAATATCAAGTCTTATAAAAAGGCATATATAAGAAGAATTCTCAAAGAAATTAAGGCCTCGTTTGTTTTAATTAACTTATTCTAATTAATTATTATCAATCAATACTGACTTAAACCATAAAATCAGAATGTAATATATTTTACGAATATAAACTTAGAAGCAAAATGTCAGTGTAAATCAAACTTAAGAATATTCAATACACAGAATCGTTAACTTCTCTCTGAAAATTTAAACAATTAATTGAAGTATTCGTTAAACCTAAATTTCATAATTCAAATGTTTTATTCAACTGGATTTTTAAAAGGTCACAGGCCAAAGTTAGTATTTCGTCTCATATAAGTTTTCATCTATTTTAAGAAAGTTGATCGGCATTTTTTCTTAATTATCGCTAGTAGTCGTGTGGGGCCACTGAAGATGCACTACTTGTTTCTACCTCTACTTTAAAGTTAAAACATCCTGTTATAATTTCGTTATGTATTCTAAAGGGATTCAGCAGAATTTTTCTAATTATACTAACAGAGCATCTTCGAGCGTGTCAAATTCTATTCGTAAACGACTATCTTTGTTATGTAATTTGTTTAAATGTAATTATTTTTAGGATGTAATACGCGGCTTTATTTTTGATAAAAAACTACACACTCCCGACGTTTCGGTTACTTTACAGCAACCGTGATTACGGGCCATCTCGTCTGATCAGTACATCCAAAAATACTCGCGAAAATCTTAGATCTCATTATATGTAATTTGTTGTTAACCTTTTTATAAGACATCACAATCTACTATATAGAGGTATACTAGAATTTTCTACAACGCTGTAAACAATGATTCGATTGACAAGAATACTCTAAAAGAGTAGTATATTTGAGTGGCCCGATTCTAAGGATATGTAGACTACTCTGAGGGGGTTTGTAGTAATATGTACACAATATACTATAGCGCATTCCAGTTTTTTTCGAGCTAAAAATGTGGATGTCCGCTTTAGTTAAAAATAGAAGAGTGACAAAGGGCTGAAGGATTTGACATGAGACGGTTTTACCTTTAATCGCCTTTCTAAACATATGGGTTTGCGATTGTAAGGCGTAATTATTAATGAAATTAAAACTGTAAAACATCACCGAAGGGTTTTTTTTATATTAAGAGAAGATTTTAATGCTGTTACCTTTATTCATTATTAATATTTGTTAGAATTTAACTAGCATTTAAGCCCTGTTATTTACTATGTACTAGGTATCAGGGAAACAATTCTTTTCTAGATCGCCATAAAGCTATGAAATCGCGTTGTCATACACAAAAATATTTTAACCATTAGCTATTTTCTCTAAGATGAAGCTAAAAATATTTTATAAAAGACCGAACATTTTATTTTAGAACCAAGTTAACTTCGTAACATAGATTCTTAACTGAACATCAGGCACGCTATCGATTGAAGGTTTTAAAGTCTGAAGAACAGAGATTATTATATAGCAAAACAAGCAATGATATAAAAAGTCCGTAAATAAGCTTACATAATGTCTTAATATAAAAAATAAAATCAAACGATTTTCATATGTTATTGAATATACGTACATCTAACTTGTAACGAAACAGGATTACTCGATGCGCTGCCTTCACTGTTTTGTGCTGAACAGATGTAGTCGCCGGAGGCATTACGACTGACGCGTTGAAGGACGAGGCTTTGGTCGCTTAGAATTATACCCGAACTAGGATTTTGTTGGATTTTCATAGACTGCTTAAAAGATTGAGAAAATAAACATGGTTATATTTACTGCATACTTTTTCTTTCAATCACTTAAATCCTACTGATATTATAATTGCGAAAGTTTGTGAGTGTGTGTGTATGTTTGTTACTTCTTCACGCTCAAACGGCTGAACCGATTTTGATAAAATTTTGTATACAGGAAGCTGACGTCCAGGAATAACACAAAGGCTACTTTACATCCCGAAAATCGGCGGGTAACACTGCGGGGCACAGCTAGTATTAAATAAGGGACTAATAAGTAAAGTACTTACATCTTTGAACCAAGATAATTTCGTCACTTTTGGATTTGATTGCACACTGCATTCAAAGTAGATGTCGTCACCTTCTTTTATATATCTGGGATTTAGATTAGATCCCAATTTCAGAGTTATAACGGGAACATCTGAAAATAATATTTCCTTAAAACATGTTACAGTTTCAATAAGAAACAAATGAATTGCATTTATGTTTAAAAATACTAAATGTGTATTTAATATTGTTGTATATCTATATAAATTAATGTCTATCCGTTACTCATGTCTTGTCATGTCTTTTCACTGAATATCAATTAGAGTTATCATTATGCCAGTAAGTAGAATCGGATTACACCTTTTAGTCCCTTGTCATTATATTAATTAATATGAATTAGATCCATCTAAATGTCAGTCACGCTTCCGAGGACGATATTCGTGATTACGTGAAATTAGCTCTTATTATAAATCCTTTGATTTACGAAGTGGTACTTGATGGTCATTATATTACAGTTTTTAGAAATAACATATGGGGAGGAGGAATTTAAGAAGGAGGAATAAAAATAATGCCATTAAAATATGTGAAACTTTCAGGTATATCTAAGATCTGTATTTGTATGTGTCCACTATATAATATGATAGTGAAATTAAAATAACTTTCAAAAAGAAGGTTGATGTCAGGCAGGCGGCTGGTCGTAAAAAAAAGCCAAAACTATTCACAATATGTAAGGCAGACCCTGGCTAAAGCTGGGAAATTGCCAGGTAGAAGAAGATTCAAATTAAAATATCTAAACTCTTAGAACATCGTTGCTCAACAATATCGATCAAGGAAAGTGAAAACTAGGCCACTCACCCCTTATACGCTCGTTAAGTATATATTGTTATAGAAAGTATTTTTATACTCACAATGTACATTTAACTTCCATGTATCCTCTATCGCTGAATTTTCAAGTCTCGTATTTTCAGCCCGACATGTCAGCTGACTATCATGATGCTCAGCTTCAGGTATGAATACAAGAACACTTGTGGTTGTGTTCGTATCGGAATACTGTCATAAATATATATCATCTAATAAAGTTTTAAATTATAGAAATAGAAAGTTTTACCTAAATTGATATATTTTACATGCTCAGTAAGCCTCGATATCAAAACAATCCGTTACGTGTTGAATTAATGCGAAAGGCGCATGAAAAAACTAGGTTTGTATTTTTATTTGTATTTCAATGTATATATATACGTTTCTTTTTCTTCTCATGATGTTAGCTATTAGATACAACTTTTAAGTTAAAATTATCAGCTAGTCTTTTGCATATCTTTTGTACATAATCAAAGTAAATGAATTGAAATAAAAGCAATTTGAATACACCAAATTAAATATTAAATCTTAATATTTTAGATAAAATTGAATTATTATTATTTCGTATGTTGTATGTTTAACAGATTGAGTATGAACCATATAAAAGTCCAGTAGGGCAAGCTGAGCATGACTAATAATTCAAGTTATCTCTTTTTCCGTTGAAAACTAAATATTAATTTGTATATACTGATTTTTAACTCAATTTTTTGTAGATTTGCGAGTAGGTATATTAATTTTTGACACTTACATTTCTGGCTTTGCCTCTTAATGGTTTTTTTTCTTTCCACCAAGTTATTTGCGCCTCTGGTCGTGAACCAATCGTTCTACACTCCACCTCGTAACTCCTATCAGCTGATAGGTGTCTGTTCTTATTCAAAATCTGCACTGTCAGTGGTTTTACTGCAACAAACTGGATTAAGTTTTGTTTTTTCTCTTCAAATACTAATTTATTTTCATTAGATTAAATCCTGAAAAATTCCTGATAATAACAAGTATGTACTTATCAATTTGTAACTGACATAAATAATGTTTTTTTTTAACTACCTCATTTATTTTAAGCTTTAATTTAAAGCGTATTAATATAAGGGATCATAATTAAAAATGTAAATAAATATACTTTTCTCGATTTTGTTATTACGTATATAACTAGCTTTCCACCCGCAGCTTCACCCGCGTGGAGTTCGGTTATATCGCGTTTCCAAGAGAACCTTTCAAAAGTCTGGGATAAAAACTATCCTATATTATTTCTCAAGGTCAACTCTATCTCTATACCAAATTTCATTAAAATCAGTTCAGTGGTTTAGGCGTGAAAGCGTAACAGACAGACAGAGTTACTTTCGCATTTATAATATAAGTAGGGATAACTCACGATTAATATCCAATATAAGTAGTTTCGACTGCGGAGGAGTCAGGTTTGTGTTCGATGCTTGGCAAATTAGTCTGGAGTTGAGATGTTGACGACCAATACTTGGAAATGTAAGACTATTTATCGTTCTTCCGTCTGATTTTTGTTCATAAGATTCATCTATAATGGTATTTTCTAAATACCATATCAAAGATGGTTTCGGATCACCTGAAAATTATATTAATTTCAGTCAAGTCAAACAATTGTACATCTTTTTTGAGATATTCAATATTATTTTCTAAAACAACGAATTTATTAAATGATATTGCAATGATATTCAAAATTATTATTGATTTATGCAAGCTAACAGATGGATTGTTTGAAGCACTGAAACGTATAACTCGTGCTGAGGACATCTTAAATCAAATTATTCACCTGCACTGTCTCAACAATAAATTGTGTCAGCCATAACACATATACTGTGAATATATAAGGTTATGTAACACGTGATAAATATTTATAATAAATTGAAAATATTTTGATGAAAACATGGGTCATGCTCTAACCACTGTGATATATTATGTTAACAAGTTAAAATCACAACAAAAAAAGTGGTTATGCTAATCGAGTTTCTATTTCTTTTAACGTCTTTTAATAGAGATATTATTTTATATAACAAATAAAATCTGTAACGTCAGTGAAATGTTTTTAAACATTTGTGTTTCTCTTGCACAGAATCCTAATAAATTTAGTTATGTCAAGCTAGATCCCACTAAACGTGTTTGCGAGCACGCTGATATTTACGATAGCAAAGAAATTTATAGATTTAGATAGGCAACAACAACTGATGAATATATATATATTAGTGTGTAACGTACTATTATATTAAAATAATTTATAATCACATGAAATAGTGTAATGGGTCATGTCTGAATTCTTTACTTATAATTTATACTTTATTAAACGAAACAAAAAATAAATGGTTATTTAGAGATAGCTTTTAAAGGATAGCAGATGATAATGCGCTCAATGTTATGAGAATTCTTAAGTCAAGCAGCAGTAGTGACATCATTTGTAAATAAAAACAATTATTTTAACAATGTCTCTAAAGGGAACAAATTCTCTTTATTTTGGATTTTAATTACTTGTGACTTCTGAGTTTAATGTGTCAAGAGCAGATTATGTGATGTTGTTAAGGGAATTAATGTTTATACAAAATCCATTTAAATACATTAAGCACGGTCTGCCATTTGCCTTTTAAGATACGTTAACAAACTACACTACTTCATTTTATATCTGTAGTTAAAGCAGATTTAACTCAAAAAAATTCACTACTAATTAATATTAATAAATAAGCGTCATGATAACGTATTTAAAAGGATGAATAAATATTATTTTTATACTTTTACTTTAACCTTTTTTTATTTCATTAATCTCGGCAGTTTTCAATAAAAAACTTTTTGACAAAATATATTTTAACTTTCAAAAGCTGTTAATATTCTCGTTAAATTTGATTTACTTCAACGATGCTTGTATTTGTAATGTAATTTATGTCTTAATCATTTTCCATTTTAATTATAATTGTGATTGTAATGAAAATGGGTTCTTTGCTTTAATTTAATCTCACTCATGAGTTAAGATAATTATTATAAGCAATAAACCAGTGCCTACCTCCATAAACTTCACATAACAGCTCCAATGTGTCTCCTTCGTTGTACGGTTCCAAAAGCCTAGTGTGGTCCCTTGTCTTTGCATCCATTATAATTGGCCGATTTGGAGGAGCTAAGGAAGTCATAACGTTATTAGCTAAATATCATACATATTATTATCGTCAAAGTAAAGGTTTTTTTTTACTATAATTAATTATTTGTGAATCTGAATAAAATGATTTTGATATTTGTATTTGAAATGGTTCGTATACTATTACATAATATTAAACGAAATACAAAAACTAGAATTAAATACCTATTAAACGATATATATATATATGTACTATATATATATATATATATATATATGTAGTACATATACCTTTTTAAAATATTAAAATAATATTGTAATATTTCAGTGCATCTAAAGTACCTACATATATGAATTGTTTCTGTAATTTCGTATATCAAGGACTGGATCAGTATTCATTTGATTAACAAACAGACGTTAACTATGACAAGTGACAAGGATCATATACAGTAAAGAGCGTAGGAACTCATCAATAACAGTATTCAATGTTGGATCTTGGCCATATTGCTTTTTATTAGTCAAATAGCTGGATAATTGTCTAGTTATATGTGAATCATGTACAAAGTATTATAGATCCAACCTTGGAATTAAACGCTTAAGAGTAATTTAATATATCAACGCTTAAAAGTAATTTTCTCTGCACAGATCGTATAGAAATAATTTGATTCCTATCATTATATAATAATAATTCTGCTGAACTAATAGTGCTTATAAAGTCAGAAATGTTCAATTAAAATAAACAGACTAGCTGCGAAATTAAATGTGGATACAAAATATACGACCAGACTGAGTTTTATGGTTTCAATAAAAATACAAGGAAATTCTACGTTACACTGACTCTAGAAAAAGCAATATTACATAGGGATGAGATGGTAATTTACTCTCTAACAGTCGAATAAGTAGTACATAGTATTGGCCATCGGAAATGCTAATGTTCTGATCGAAATTCAAAACTAGACCAATGAGTTTTAACCTGGATCAATATGCTATTGAGTAAGGGATAATTTTGAAAGAGTTAAAGAGAAACGAAATAGTACAGTAGTAAATATACAGGGTGACTGGTGAATTACTATCAATATTTAAGGAGAATACTCGGTACATGATTCTCATACGAATTATGTAAAAAAATAGGTGCTTAATTTTTGACCAAATTTCCATATAAATAAATAACGTGTGGACACGTTCCAAGTGTTCAAAGTGTGGACGCGTGCGGCGGCGTGCTGATACAACACCACGCCGCCGCACGCGTGTGTGTGTATACCTAATCTGTAGGGTGTTCACACGATGCGTAATTAATTACATAACTTTTGGTTAACTTTACTTAGAAGTTTATTAATATTTATGTTATATTTATTTTTATTTTGTCATATATGATCGTCAAATATCACGTCCTCAAGTATCGATAGTAATTCACCAGTCACCCTGTATATTACGGATTAATCGTATTGAGACTCAATCCTAAAAACATATTGTAACTGCGAAATTTAATATTGCATAGGAAATCAGATACTAGGTTTTGCCACTATTTATTTTCCTATAAATCATAGTTGAACGGTGAAATATGCGAAGAGTATACCTTATAGAGTATTTTGTTTAAAATTTTCTCTCTTCATCATTCCATACACGCTCTTTTGACGTCAAATGATCTTCATAACACAGATGACTTAATATTTATAATGACTACACCACCTCAGTACTTCAAATTTTGAAAAAGGTCGTATCATATGTATTTAACATAGAGGATTACAGGGGTACGGAACGATGAGCGAAAAATTAACAAGAGTATTTTTTTGCACAGTAACAACGAGACTGAGTGAATGCAATCAATATCAAGCTATTTGAATGTTTGATATCTCATAGAATCAAATGTTTATTTTTGAAATAAGTATGTGTAATGCTAAATAAATGTAAGTTTTATTAACCAGTAATTACAAAGAAAAACAATAGTTTAACAAATTTTCAGCACTGTTAGAATCGTGGTACTATTATCGAGTTTAAAAAGAACATTGAAGTAGTTTGTAATTACTATAAACTTACAACTGGTGGCGTCTCATGCAAACATCCTGTTTAACAGTGCAGGTACCTGACAGAAACTTTGAACAAATAAATAGGGTTAGAACTCAAGAGACCGATGTCATAATGACACAATGGATAATTAATATTGCTAGATTTTATGTTAACATATTCAATTATATAGAAATGTAACAAGATTTTGTGCAAAACTGTGGAAATATCCTTTAAAGCATTTGCTAAGGATTATATATTTTAGGTTAAATCAATGTAGAAGCGTTGAATATCATGAAAAAGCATTATTACGGACCAAAAAACTGAGTTTTAGTTTACAATATTGGTGAAGATCCGTGGTGATTTCGTTAGAAGAGACAGTCATTATTGCAGAGAAACAATTAATTAAATCAAAAATATACAGACAGATAATCAACCGGCATATCTCATAAATCACAATGAAACATTTGCAAAATCACAATCGCCTAATTAAACATACTGGAATAATCAATAAGAAAAATAATCATAAAAAATGTAATCATGTTATCGATAAGTATCGTAAGAGGAATATACTCGTATATATTATGACTATGATTATTTTAAGTCATTTATAAAACAAGTCAATTGACGAATGAATTTCATATCGATTATCTGTCTGATTGACCTGAAGAGACGAAGAATGAACAAACGAAACGCTTTATACAATGAGAGCAGAGAACAAACAAAATTAACGATTGTGTGCGCTGTGTGAACTGGCATTACTTATAGTTATTGCTCATATGACTATATCATCAATGAATATTTAATAGGTACTTATATTTAAAAGATATGTAATATCTTAAGATTTCTTATAAATTGTATTGAGTACTTAAATTTTATGCTATTATATCACGCTACTACTATTACATAATAATACATAAGTGTTTAATATTATATTTTCTCGTTATATTTACAAATGCATAAAGATATTAATATGATGTCAATAGAAATCAAAATATCATCAAAGTTAAAATATATCTGACAATGACGTCTTTGTCCTGGTTTCTGTTCACAACACCGTATTTATACCTTAGAACAATATACGGTCCATTACTTAATTTCCTAATGCGCGTTTTCATTACCTTTGTTCAAACCGTTGTGGTTTGTTGTTTGATTTAGCTGTATAAGAATAGTCGCTAGGAATTTCTAGCAAAACCCTACATTTCCAAAGCTGTTCTTAATTGGACAATCCTTTGACCGCTCACGGTAATAATGAAATACCAACAACTGTGCCTTACGTTTTTATTTCGTCCACTGTGTATGTCATTGATTTTTTTTCGGGTCTGCATGAAATGTTTGTATCTTTTAGAACTTCAAAAGGATCCTTGCTTTGTTTTAATATTAGGTGGATAAGCAAACATTAAAATCTTTTCCGAATAATATTACTGTCAAACCGTGGGCCATTTTGTGTTTTTGCTTAAGACTCAAAATAAGATAAAATTGATGCATTTACCAAAATATAAACTAAAATATACTCAAAATGAATTAAACAATCAATGTGCTTTATTTTTTATATTATAAAACATACTTTTATTTCGCTACTTATCATTCAAATACACTTTTACAATTTCGGATAATTGTCTAATATAACTAATGAAACGTCTCATTAGCAAAAAATATTATATTTTAACTTAAAGTGAGTAACTTTGTGTATTATTCTACGCAGGTCGGTATAACTTACAAGTCTAGAAGCACAAAAGGGCGGAACAAAATACTTTGAAGCCTGACTCGTGAAGGCTGACCTAAATTGAATACGATATCGAACTATAACTGCACCAGCACAAGCGGTCTGGAATTATTATTTTTTCATCACAACTTTCTGACGTGAATTTAATTTCGACGATCGTAACAAAGAGTGGGAGACATTATTTAAATGTAAACTATATATTATATGGAATGCTAATTTCTATTAATTAGTACGTATTGAATTATTGCTTTCATGACTCCATAAAAAACTATTTTACTCTATCCTGTCAATTATAGTATTTTGTATATATTCGTAGCATCTGTAAAATCAAGTTTGGCTTGTTATAACAATTTTAATAACAAGATGTTTTAAATCTTTATTCTGTTTGTTTTGCTCTTTAAATTATAAAAGCCTTACTCCTGAGCTTCTATTTCCCTTATTGCACAATTTTTTTAGTTTACATAATTTATTTACCTTAACTTAGACAAGGACAACTTTTAAATTAAAAATACTCCATATTTATTCATTAAACTATTTGAAACTTTAAGATTTTTAAACCTATTAAATGATTCTGTTCTGATCTCCTGATCTAAATTTACTTCAATCATACACACGCATAAAAATAATCACAAATGTTAATTTATAATATCAAAATTAAATAAGTTTTATTTTTTTTATTTCAATGTCTTTTCGCTTAATATTTGGAGTATAAAACTCAGGGTTAAAAGAGTAGAGAATAATAAAAATACTTACTAATAACGGTGAAATTAATTCTCAAATTTCTAGTAGGTGAGTTTTTGAAGTCCACTCGACATCTGTATACTCCGCTGTCAGCTGTACCGACATTATCTACTAGAAGTATAGCCGGGGTCGCTGTGGCTCGGAAGTACGCTCGTGAACCGAAACCCGTAGGTGATGACCACAGCTTCGGTTGGTTGATGCTACGTCCACGAACGTCGTAACTGGAGGGTTAATAGTGTATATATGTTATGACTTTTTGAAACATTTATATTCATTTAAGTAAATTTTCTGCGAAACAAAACTATGCAAACGAAATTTATGGCTGGTATTTAATAGCCGATGAGCAAATGCCTCATAAAAGAAGACTATATACGATTCCTCACTTCCAAATTTATGTGAGAAGTTCTTTAAATTGTTTGCTGAATTTCATTAACAGGATTTGATTTTTAAAATGAACTCCAGGATTTTTTCCAAAAAATAACAATGTAAAGATTCTAACTTGGCGAAATCTATAAGCACACGCCACTAACTAAAGAAGAAGAAGAAGATTCTAACTTGACCTACCTGTAAAATGGTTCCCAATCAGCTTCTTTGAACCACAGTACCATAGCAATTCTATCATCAGCTGAGAGCGGCTGGGTGTCGCAAGGTAAAGACCCTTTTTTACCCAAAACTCCAGCAACATGCGCCGTTGGAACTATAGACAAAAAAAAGTTTATTTGTTGGGATGAAATACTAAATAATAATAGGTTGTTTTTACATCTTGAACGTAATTTAACTAATTTGATTGATACACAATGTTTATTATTTAGTTTTTTCTTAAATCAACATATCTTTCAAATATAACAAAATTTTCACAAAAACAAATACATATACATATATGTCATTAAGTAATTCTTATGTATATGAACTCATATTTTTTACATAATTTTTAGTTTTACAATCTTCACGAGTTTCATATTAGGTCCTTGTCCCCTTATAACTTAATACTTTTCAAGCAATATATATTGCAAGTAATTAATAATACCACTACCTTGCAGACAGAAGATTAAGTTTACAGATTCATCAATGTGAGACGCGCATTCAACCAAAACAGTCGCACGGTGTCGTATGTCTGTTGCCATGAGACTCGTGTTAAAGATCAAATTACTTTATTTATACTAATATTACTTTATAATTAAATAATTCAGCTGATACATGAACTGTTTATTGAGAGTTATAAAAACAGAACGAACTTTATTAATCAAGTGTTTCTTTATGTAATAAAACAAAGAAATGAACGCTAAGTATCATCTCAATTATCATATGGAGTATAATTTATTTCCCACTTATAATAAGGCTTTAAAAGTTCTTATTCTAGGTGTTTTTATAAAAAAGTAAGTTTTTTAAAACCCCTACATACTATTGTGAAACAAAAGGATGTACAGCTCTCTTTGCAACTTCCAAAAAATATACTTAACACTAATTTGAGCCGATTTCAAGATATTCGACCTTAAACTTCGTATATTTATTTATTTCGGTAAATCAAGCGGCCGGCTCTAATCCGAGCAAGCGTTGAGGGAACAACAAATGGAACGGATATCAACCAACTGTATTTGTAAGAAATAGTAAAGATGTTCAACAGAAACGAGTACGTCGACAAACGTTTGGTTTAATCAAAAGATTTCTACCAACATTATATATTTAAATTTTTAATTACTGTTCCCTATATACTTTTTAAGTTTAAGAAAAGACCTAAGTGAATTTTCCTATACTAACAACATAATTGCGTATTACATCATATAAATTATAATTTCTATAATAAATATTTTTCAAAATATAATATCGCGTTACTGAAGTGGCTAACTCAATATCATGAAAGCTATATGCTAAAACATGCAATACATATATTCGCTTTCAATCACTGATAAATTCAGAATAGAATCTCCCGCTACCGCTTACAATATATATTAGTACGTCGTCATTGTTTACATTAACAACAAACAACTCCCGAGACACAACACGTACATTACCAGACTTCAATACCAGTTCATTGATACTGGCTTCCTTACTGTTTTTATAAGTCTCAAACAGATTCTTTCTTCTAGATTATTTCAGAGCGGTGAATTGAATTTAAAATTCTACTACTACCTGCGATCCGATGCTTTATTTTCTGTAACGATTGCATGTGACACAAAACCAAAATGAATATTCGTTTCTTAACTGTGCTTTTAAAATACATATAAACAAAATTAACACAAAGTTTTTAAAATTACTCCTTTTATTTTTAATTTACTTGTGCATAACAAGTAAATTTTATAGCAAACTTAGCATAAATTACGTACCTACATATATATTTTTTCATAAGTAGATAATACAAGTTGTTATGAAAAATTCATTTTTTCGGTCTAGCCCCTGCAAATAAGGTTTTTTGTTAAAAAAAAGATTCACTTTTCATTTATCTCTAGACACGCTTTTGGAGTTATTCTTAAAAAGCTTTTCATTTGACACCCATATTATGTACGTGCATTGAATGTAACTTCTCTTCTCATCTTAAAAATGCCTCCATGTTAAATTAAGGACTATATACATAAGTCACAAATTTAATGAACTTTTCATAAGAACTTAATATGAATGAGTAAAACAAGAATTAATTAGATATATATGTATTGTAATGTTAATAAAAAATTGTAAAAGCACAAAAATTCAACGTGACTACCGCAGCTACAGATATATTTTGAGATGCACCGAAAATACATTCACAGGAAAATTACCTCAAACGGTCGGTGCTGCGTTATTTATTTTTAACGCATAAATTAGGGCATGAGACCGATAGGGAAATGAATGCTCTAACTACAAGGATGTGAAATTTTGCGGCAATGTACATTAAATATGACTTTAATCATAAAAACATGAACTGAGAATCTCTTTTGTTTGTTCTAGACGAATTGTTAAATTAGAATCTTGATAAGACAAGTAAATAAAATTTAGTATTCTTAAAAATTGTTTAAACGTTACACTTGTTTATATCTATTTTAAAAGCAACATTTAAAAACTCGTTTAGTAAGAAAAAGCACAAAATTACTCTTAATAATATATCAATCAAGGGTCACTGATTGCAAAACAAGTTAAAATATCGAACGCCCGAGTTTACCAATTTGTGTGCTGACGCGTTGTTTTACCATGATGATTTGTACTGAATTTAAAACACATTAAATTCAATCATATCTTAGACATAAATATTTAAAGCTATTTGAAATTTAATTAGACAGTTGAATTGTCTGCGTGACTTGAAAATATAAGAAAGTTAGCTTGAAAAGCAAAAAAAAGCAGTGAACCAATTTCAGCAGCAACAAAGAACAGTAGGGTCAACAAAAGAAAATTTTCGTTTCACGGACACGTGATCTGATTCAATGGAACTTTTGTAAATATATTTGTATCATATCTAAAATAAATATGTATGTTTATATTTATACATATTAATATATGACAGCAACCTAAACCAATCTGTTATATTTTAATAAGTATATTTGATTTTACTTGTGTCTTTTAAGAACTTTTCATATTTATTTCCAAAAGGAAAAGTACTAAGTCAATGATATCCTAGTATTTTTTGTCTAAATTGCCATCACAACGCTACATACGGAACAATAAGAATTTTCATTCATAAATCTTCGTCCATTATATGTAGTATTGACGTTAGTTATTGTATGACAAACGCGATACGTTTCATACATAATATGTACGAGTGTAGTAGTGAGAGAATGTAAACTTGAATAATGCAAGTTTAATAGTCACGATTACTAAATTGCTAAACTGTTTTATTAAATTGCACTTTCGTTTGCATGCATAGACACAACCGCATATATTTACATTGTCATTCTGTTTTTATCACTTAATGAAGAAAAAACATTTCATTTTAGAATTCATATTTTACTAAATAAAATTTCGTACTTAAAGAACGATGGAATTTCAGAACACGTTAATAATAAACATTTAGTCGAAAGTTTTAACGATACGAAGTACGGAATTTAAAAAACAGAATTTTAAAAATTATAAAATTACTGAATTTTAAAATCAAACACCATTAATCATCTTAATTTTATAGTTTAATACTTGCACTTTATAACGAGTATGTTATTAGCACGAAATGGAAGATGGACATGCATTAAATAATTGAAAAAGCATTATGTTTAATTTCTTAGTGTATTGTCAAAACCGTAATCAAAAATTTCGAGCACTTTTTGTTATTCGGGTTTATTTGTTCATCTAGCTTTCTTTATACAAACACTTACCTACATATTTACAAGTAATTTATAAGTTATTTTTAAAAGTAACAAAATATTCCTCTAAATGTTATATTCCAAAAATAACCATGAGGCAGTGGTACAATATCAATAACAAAGAAAAAATCTAGTTGTGGCGCAGAGTCCAAATTTGATGTGGTATTTTTTTTGCAATAAATGTTACTGCGGCTTTGACAGCACCGTCCCTACAGTTAGAAATTTTATTGTATATACGCTTGTATTTTATTATCTTGCATTTATTACAACCTTATTTGCCTTACATATAATGTGACGTCAATAGTGTAAAAATTATAGGATCACTTTTATAGAAGATTATAACAATATTGAAAATACTCTTGAATTTTAATAAAAAAGAATGAGAAATATTACAAAAACAAACTCTCTGGTACCCCAAAAGTTAGAGTTGCGAATTGATATTGAAATCCAAAGATAACAACTTTATGCGTTTGATAAGAAATTTAAAATTCCTATCGGGGTCAAATTATTGTTATACACGTACCTACGGGCAGAGCCAGACTTGTTAAATATATGATTCCGGGCATGGAGCTTGGAAAGGACTCTAGTATCTAATAGCCCTGAGATAATATACTGTTACGTTAAAATTATGCAATCTTTGTTAACAATATGGGTCATATGTAATCTGAAAAACTTAAAACTAGTTGAAAAACATGTTTGGATTACAAATTAACAATTCAAACTAAAATATGTGAAAACAATTTCAGGATATTAATATTGATTGTGAAGCAAAGAAAAGTAATCTATCATCTATCTTCAAATGAGTTTCTCATATACGACTCTACATGATAAAATCTATGTAAAATATGACCATAATTCCCCTAGAGACAGATGCTGAAATTCACTTACTTGATATTTCTATCAAGAACTTATTTCGGCAGAAAATATTTTAAAAATAGGTTTTTTGTGTCTATACCGAAGGAGTATACTCCTCACAGGAGCAATATTTGCTTATTAAAAAAGAACATACTTCTAAAAAAAGTATTGTAGTCTATTCTCCTAAGAAAAAAAATACAACTATCGCTGTATATATATTACTTTTATGAAAGGTTAAGGTTGTTTAAACAAATCTAGTGGTTTCCACAAATCTATTATAAAATAAAATTAATAACAGTTTAATGTAATGTTAATGAAAAGCATGAAAATAATGAAAATTATACATTTATACCCTTTTATAAAGATTCACACAGAAAGTATAAAGGAAACCGAAAACAAGTGTGCTTTTAATGAATTAATTAATTATTAATTTGCCATGAATTATTTAACAAAAATGTCATCCATATTTTTTTCCACGATTTGCCACGAGAACCGTTATTTCGTGTATATTTTTGTTCATATTTTCTTTTATTGTATTGTTATAATTATATTTTGTTTATAATTTAAATGTTCAAATAAAATATACGTAACCAGAAGACTTAAAATTTTCAAAAGGTTTAAAAAAACATTTAGATTTATGATAACTTATTTTTAAAAGGTC